TGGAGAGGAAGGAATCACATTAGGAAAGCTGTGGGGCTAAGGATGGGATGGATCACAGATCACAAGGTTTTTGGCAGTATGGTGCCTGCTTCATAATTTTCTGAGTCTTGGACTCCAGTTGCACTGATAACCAGAAGCTCCTTTCAACAATTCTATCAACTCAAAAGGCTGCAGACCTTCTAATCAGATTGGAACCAGTCCCTACTACTGAGGCTTACATAATCTTGAGATGAGACCACCACAATGAATTCTACAAACGTTGGCTAGAGAACTATCATGAATTTGTGCATACCTATTTCAGAGGCACTGAAAATGTTAACCTGGTAGAGGTTGAAAAAGTTAACATTAGGCTTTCAGCAATTAAGATTTTTCAACAGACTTTAATTTGAATTATCAAATATTTCTGTTAGTTGTTCTGAGACTTTGACAAGAGCCAGGTTATAAATTTAAGTGAATAACAGAAGATGATGCTTTGCTTGGAGCAGAGGTGAAGTGGGTCAGGAAAAGCTGAGGGGAAAATTCTGTGCTGCCAGCAATGTCCTAATTTCTTTGTGTCTCCATTTTGCCTCTTCCTGCCTACCATGTGATGAATCTGGAGTGTTTCCTATTGTACACCTTTGCACACCTTAGTTGATTTAGGTCATTATAAAGCTGACCAGAGTGACTAGGAGCTAACAATGTGGTGGCACAGGTTTGATTGGTATGTACAGGAGACCAATTGTTCATTAAGGAGCTGTCTCACTGCCCAGAAGACAAACTGCATGGCAAGCTAACCACTTTGGCTTTTTATTTTTAAAAATGAAACCTGCTCCATAGAGATATCGAATGTAATAGTATAAAAGGCAGACATTAGTAACTAACTAGGACAAGTAAAAAGTTTCACTATTCTTGATGATTGGGTTCTTTTGGTGCTTAAATTTAATAAGGGCTTACAAGAATAATTTATTTTTAGTTCTTTCTCTTTAATCATGAAAGCATGGGAGTTCTTTATTTATATGCACTGCTCTGGTAGTCTTCGTTTAATCCTGCAAATCTTTATCAATGCTCTGAAGCAAATTCTGTTGCAGGGTGTTTGATTTCCATAATCCCTGCAGTGCAGACATTTATGTGAATTGCTTTAGAATCCTTTGAAACAAAGAGATTTATTCTTTTATTCTGGGACAGCAGAGATGCTAAAGAACATAAAAATTGTGCTAGAGCACTGACTATCTCAGGGCCTTTTCGGCCATCACTTTTTGAACATATTCTTCCACAACCACTCTCTGTTACTAGGGCAGGAGGGTGTGGCTGCATAGTATGTAGAGATAAACACACACACACACACACACACACACACACACACGTGTTTTGGGTTGCAACCTTAAGCAAATTTGGAAGGAATATACATAAAAGCCTGAGCCTAAAAAACAGGGTTTGTTCATAACTGCATGCTTATCCGGTGATGATTTGCATCTGTAATTACATCATCACAGACTTCCCTTTCACTTTGCTCATTTCATCCTTCTCATCAACTGAGGGATCAGTTCACCCAATCAGCTGCCTATTTTTTATGCTGATTAATGTGCTTTTCATAAATTAAGAGTTGTATATGCATGTGCAAACCATCCAAGGCAGAGCATAATGTGATGCACATGCATGTATGAAGAAAACGTTGGATACCTATCCAGAGCAGCAGCATATAGTTCTCAAGGGATCTTTAAGAGCTAGTGTGGTGTAATGAATAAGAGTGCTATGAGATCTGGGTTCAAGTCATGAAGCTCACTGGCAATCTCTCAGCATAAGCTACCCTCACAAGGTTAGAACAGAACAGAAAAGAACAGAACAGTGGAATTATAGAGTTGAAAGTCCAACCCCCCTGTCAATGCAGGAAAATCCATTAGTAGAGCATGTTTGATAGGGAATTATATTAGCCTTTGCTTGAAAACCTCTAATGAAGGAGCGTTCCCCACCTTCTAAGGCAATCTCTTCCACTGCTGAACAGGCCATACCATCAGGAAGTTCCTCCTAAAGTTTTGTCTAAATCCTTTTTCTTGTAATTTGAACCCACTGGTTCAGGTCCTACCCTCTGAAACAACAGAAAACAAGTTTGCTCCATCACTATGTGATAGCCATTTGAAGATGGTTGTCATATCATCTTCATTGTCTATTCTCCATCTAAACATATCCAACTCCTTCAACCTTTCCTCACTGGACATCATCTTCAGGCTTCTAAGCATCTCTCCCTTCGCTGGATACTTACAAGAAAACATCTCCCAACAGCACATCTCCTCCAGTGTTCAGTTTCCCTGCCTAATATTTCCACTTGGATGTCTCATTGCTATCTCAGATTCAACATGCTCAATAATGATTTTCCTTTGCTCAGTCTTTTCATATCCATTGAGAATGTTACCATTCTCTCTGTTGATTGGACACACAGCCTGCCCATCACCTTTGATTCTATTCCCTCATCACTTCTCACATTCATTCAGTTGTCAAGTTGGGTTGTACAATGTTTTAAACAACGGGTTTGTTCTTCTCTGTCCCCCAGCAAACAGTCTGCTTCCTGTTGCAACTGTCTCCCACCTGGACTACTGAAACCTCCTCTACTCTGGCCTTCCTGTCTCATACCTCAGTACTCTCATCTCTACACAAAACTCAGCTGCCAAAAGAATGAATCTGTTCCTTCTGCCAGACCATGTGATGCTCCTCTTCAGATCCCTTCACTGGCATCCCTTTCCCTTCCGTATCAAGCACACTCCATGTCTTAATTTTTAAAGCTATCTGGGATGTATATTCATCCTTGCTTCCTGTTTTCTTCTCCATACTCTTTCAACTCTTCTCATCCATCACCAACCAAGGGTCTCATGCTTCCTTAAACAACTTCACCCAAATTCTATGGGGCCCTTTGCTTATTCCCAGCTGAAATCTATCTATATCTATATGCATTTCCCACATTTTTCTCCCACTACCCATGTCTCTTCTTCTGCTGTTCCTCCACGGTCTATTTTAAATTGTAAGTTCACTGGGAACAGGGACCAATCCATCTTGCTTATGTAGTTCTGTACTGTATCATGTACAAGGATGGCATGGTAATAATAGTAATATTACAGCACTTCCACTTTCTTGATTGATCTTAGATGCAGAAATCTAAGGACTGGTTCACACTGTCACTTTAAAAAAATGTCTTGAAAGCCGAGCTTTGCAAATTACAAGTTGCAGTTTTGTGGAACCACTACTACAGATTTACCAACTGAATACTTCATAGGCTTATCATGGGAAGATGGTTATACAGGAAATAAATGACCATTAGTCTTACATAGATGGGAATGCACAATTGATAATGTTCACATCTAGAATATGTCTCATATTCTAACATAGCAAAAAACAACATGAGCAAAGCAGATAAAAGTGTTATTAGAAAATGATTATGGAACTAAGTTAGCACAATTATGCTAGAAGCACATTAGGTCAAGGAGAAAAGCATGATGAGCTGAGAAGGAACAAGCACTGTTTACAACAATTAGAGCTATCAATATGATTGTTAATTATTGAAGCTATCACAACAAATCAACGAACATTTTAAACATCACATATACAAAAAAACTTCTTGCAGCCGCATGTCAGCCTTTTCAGTTATCACATTAGTGCCTTACCCTTGTCCAGTGACATTGGACTTGTGTTGTCAACATTTTCTTTGTTTCCTTGATCTAAAGCCATATCAAGTGGCGAGGGAGATCGTTCAGAGCTGATGATGTCTTGAATTGGTTCTCTTCCCTTTTCCAAAGCTGGCATTTGGCATGATCTGTTAGTTCTGATGCTGCCAGATTTTGTTACCTTTCAGGGGAAAAGAAGTTCTTAAGAGAAGGCAAAGTATCAACACTTAAACCAGCTCAAACTTAAAAGCACCAGAAAATATTTTAAAATAGTAAAATATATCAGAGTCACTTTGTGTCTGTGCTCGTACATGGACACACACTTTTGCGAAGCACACAACACCCACAAAATCTCAGCAATACTGTTACTGCTATTGGTGTTGATAGTACTTCAAGCAAATAAATGTTGATAGTACAGTGGTACCTCCGGTTGCGGAAGGGATCCGTTCCGGAGCTCCGGTTGGATCCCAAGGTTTCCACAACAGGGGGTGCCTGTTCTGCGCATGTGCATGGTGCGATAGAGCGCTACTGTGCATGTGTGCACAGCGAAACCGGGTTTGTCGCGTGCGTAACCCAAAGGATACGTAAAAAGAGGAGCACGTAAGTAGAGGTACCACTGTACTTCAACATGTTGGTGGCACTTCAAACAAAGCAATACTTCACACTCACATGTTTTGAGCTCTCTATCGTACTTCTACATATAATTGTATTGTGAGAAACCTGGACCTTAACTATGGGTGAGGATTCCTTTTCCAAAACACTTTTGCCTACTGTGTAACGTGTCTCCTGGTCAGCTTGTTTTTCTCTCTCTTCAAGATGGAGGCTGAACTGGCTTTGTGACATGTTTCAAAGGCTTGGCATAGTAAAGAAGCCAATTCACAACAGGGACAGGAGGTAGTACTCTTGCTCTGGATCTGTTTTAGATTGTTTATATTTCAAAAATAAACTATTGAAAGAAACATAAAAATAAGTCCACTGGCAAAAAAGATTGAATCTCCATTAAAAATATGTCCAACTATGTTAAGGGCTCTCGGCACATTACACAATCTAAATTATACATGTCTCCTACTTCTTTCTGCCTCCTTTCTCCCTCTTCCAATATTAGAACTATTGTTGAGATAAATCTTATACAGCTATTTAAAAAAGATTGCTAAGCATATGCTTCCCAAATTTTCATGTCCCTCCATAGCCAGCCCCTTAAGGGCAATTCTTACTTCATTTCACAACCAGCCCTAACCCAGAATATGCCTGAAACATATACTCCCACAAGCCTGTTCTTTCATGATGTGCCATAAAATAATAGAATTGTTGAGTTGGAAGGGACCATGAGAGTTATCTAGTCCAACCCCCTGCAATGCAGGAATCTTTTGCCCAACATGGGGCTTGAACCCACGGTGCTAAGATTAAGGGTCTCAATCCCTACCAACTGTGCTATCCCAGCCATCACTCACACCCTGATAGAAATGTTGAGTACTGACACAAAATGGCTGCCATGGGCAACAACAAAAAGGTGATGGTACCCTGTACCAGTACCATTACAAACAAACAAAAAAAGCAAGCACTGCTTTCTGATATTATGACTTGACACATACCGTTTCCTTTGGCCAACTTATATCATCTCCACCAACAGCTATTATATATCTCAGAATTGTTTCCTTATTAATGGCACCAGTTTTGTTGTGTCAATTTAATGTACAGATTACTAAAACTCGGGGACTTCCAATGAAGCTCACTGTTTAAAGAAACAGGTTTCCTATATAGGCAAATGATTGGCCATTAGGAGAGCAGGATGCTGGACTATATGATGCTTTGGCCTGTTTCAGCAGGCTCTTCTTAAGTTCATTTTCCTACCTCCCCAGATGCCCTTGAGCTGAACCTTCGGCCTGAAGGTGGAGGTGGCCCAAGAACCTTAGATCCAAATGCAATGTGGGATACGTCTTGATTTTTACTGTTTCGTGTCGTGGCCAATCCCCGGTTTAATAGATGGTCTGCTAGAAAAATAAGGCAGACAATTAATATTGGCACTGTGATCACACTGATTTATAAAGAGCGGTGCATATAATTTAACAAGGAGAAATCATACGTATCGTCATAAGCATCTACTCTGGTTAAACCACGCCAAAGAAAATCTCAAATGAAGTTCTTGCCATACAAGTCAGGTGATGTGACAAAAACGTGTTGTGAGCAAGGACTGGGCACAGCAACTGGCAACGGGCAATAATTTAGAACTCAAACTGTATCTTTGTGTTTTGAATTGAACATGTTTGGCTATTCATTTATGTCACTAGTGGGAAATCAGTTTTAAATGCACATTTAAACAGAAAAAGAGAAACACTTAGATATACTATTGGATAGCTTGCTGAAGATGTATCAAATGCTGAGTATACTGTCAAACACTGGCCATCAATAGAAGTATTAAACTTTGAAGCTTAAATAAATTCAATTTTCCTTCTAAAATATGTTTATTGTGTATGAATGTAAGACAGAGGGTGCTATTCAACCAGGATCCCTACCAACCAAAAGAAAGAATATGTCAGTAGAATGGAGGGAGGCAATTTTTGACTATTCCTTCCTTCCTGTAGCAATCCATGTACCGATCCCATCTTTTCCAGTCCCCCAAATCTCAAGAGCAGAACAAGATGGGGCTTAAAAAGGGAGGGGAAATTTCCAGAAGATGCTTCCCTCCTCGTTCTGTAGACAGGTGCCTTCATCCAGCAGAGGAATACCAACCAGACACAACTTGGAAAGAAAAACTGCAAAGTGAATAATACTCTGTTTATCAATGGAAGAAAAATGTTGTTGTGCATTTTAAAACAATTTGTTGTTGTTTAGTCATTTAGTCGTGTCCGATTCTTCGTGACCCCATGGACCAGAGCATGCCAGGCACTTCTGTCTTCCACTGCCTCCCGCAGCTTGGTCAAGCTCATGCTGGTAGCTTCAAGAACACTGTCCAACCATCTTGTCCTCTGTTATCCCCTTCTCTTTGTGCCCTCCATCTTTCCCAACATCAGGGTCTTTTCCAGGGAGTCTTCTCTTCTCATGAGGTGGCTAAAGTATTGGAGCCTCAGCTTCAGGATCTGTCCTTCCCGTGAGCACTCAGCGCTGATTTCATTAAGAATGGATAGGTTTGATCTTCTTGCAGTCCATGGGACTCTCAAGAGTCTCCTCCAGTTTTAAACAATAGCACAGACTTATTTCACCTTTTCAGTTCAGGGTAGACATTTGATTTGATTCCAGTTTCCCATAGTCCTTACCTAACATGCCACAAGTTTCTTTTCTTCTCCTATTTTCTCACATGAACGCCAAGCTGGCCATCAAGTTTTCCCACACATTACTAGTGGAACTGAGCTGTACTTGCCCTCAGGCCTTCCTCCCATGCTTTAGTAGTGAGGAAGATGCCATACTAAAAGAAAGAGAGACAATAAGAGGCATTTTGCTAGGCCCAAGGGACATTGACAAGCCATCATTAGGCTTTCCTCCTGAGATTCCAATTTACTCCCTGGTGATGGAAACAGGACTGGCTAATATTACCCACCAAATTTGTTTCACAACTTTTCTTCATCTCATGAAAGTGAATAATCTCCCACTGTTTGATGGCTCTTGCCCATACAAGAAAGACTGGAGATTCAAACATTCTAAGGAGTGGTGGAATAGCAACCTCAGGAGAGGTGACCTGTTTCAGCTAAGCATCGGCTTCTTTAATTTTCTGACTGCTTTGTGATGTTCTCTGCCCCCCCATCAATTATAAAAACAGATTAACATGAATAGTTTCCATTCATGATCACATTAACTGACTGCAATTAATTGGCTACATCAACACGTACAAGTCATCTGCTATATTGAGCAACAAGGTATAGTTAAAAGCAAAGTAAAAAGTAATTTGGGCTTTTGATTAGGACCGGAACAACATAAAAAAGAAAGTTTAAAAGATTTTTAAAAATAAATAAATCGAAGCTTAAACTTATCAAAGTGCTCACTTCCAGAAAGGCCTGATTTGGGGTCTTTGAAAAGAGAGGGAATGACAGTAGCAGAACTCATCTCCTATTCACAGTGCAAGGTTAAAACTAAAGATTGGATTAAACTCTGAAGCTCCAGGCATTTTATTTTCTGTGGTTAACAAAAAAGAAAAGAAACAAGAACTTGGCATAGGTCAGGAATATACCCACTAATTACTTTACCACTTTACCAAGGGCTACAGTTTAGATGGTGAAACCTGGGGGTTCACTGCCTAATTGCCTTTTTAAACATAGCCATTTTTAAATCTTTAGATTCACCATTCTCATTAATTTAGCTATTGAATTATAATATCTTCTTTTACCGTAATGTTTCAGGAAATAAGTATAGGTATTTTTGGATCTGCAATTATACTGTCATTATATTTACGGATTATGATAATTTGAGTTTGGGAAAAGGCTGAATAAAAAATAGATTAGCCAAATATGTTTTTGTTTTGTATTTCTTTCCCAAAACTGCAATCTTTTTGAGCACTCATGGCTTCTCTTTACTACAGGCCAACACTTTGGGAGGTTGTATATCTGTAAACTTGAGTATTTGTGCCATCTTGTACTTAAGCACGCACCTAGTAGCTATAGGCAAGAAGGAACTGCATGCAGGCAACTAACTAATGGAATTCCATGCAGACAAGCACCTTTCATTGCTTGCACAGTTAAATGCAGGCAGATCTGACTGGTAAAATTGGCTATGGCTGATAACTTCTACAGCCAATTTAAAATTTTAAACAAATTTCAAAATCAAAACTGGAACTATAATTATCAAGCTATGGATACTTTGATTAATATGAAACTATTAAGAGTTATTCCTATATAAAATTATGAAGGCCTGACAATCACAGAAATCACAAAAGTGGGGTATTTTTATAGCTTAGCAGCTCATCTATGTTAGTGTAATGCATCTATTCCTAGAAATGCTCTCCATGAAGGAAGCATACCTATTACTAGCTAGCCACGTTTTAAACCAACTTAAGTAAGCTTTCCATTTCAGTTTTTAAGGCACTTGTTTGCTGTTTGCCAGAAAGGATGTGGTGAGAATGTGCAAATGCAGATGCTGAAAATGTTAAAAAAATTAACATTCCTTTGGTCCGATGAAACAGTAAGAACCAACAACTCCAAAAATGGACCCTCTTTTAATAGCACAATATCTTTTGGCATATTACTGGATGCAAACGGATACACTTTGGACATGCCTTTGCACATGTAGCACTAAGTACCATGTAGCCCCAAAACAAGGTAGGGTCAGACATAGTAAACCCACTCCCAGTGGCAAGAACTGATGCAAGAAAAACATCAGATAGGTCTAACCATCTAGCCATTGATAGAGAACATGATATCTTTTCTGGATCTGCTAACCAACCTTGGTCTTCCAAAAACCCTGAAGATATTGCTTTGAACGTCTCAGCTAAGTTTTTCTTGCTTGTGCATGCCATCCTTTATTTCAGAGGTAGAGTTTAAACTATAATGAGTTCTAGAAATGTTAGGTGTCACAACAGCAAAAGGCTTTGTCTAGAGCAGGGATAGAGAACCATTGACCCTTCAGATGCTGGACTTTAACTCCTATCAGTCGCAGTCAGCATGGCCAACAATGAGGTGAGCTGTAGTCCAACAACAACTGGAGTCAAACATTCTCTGTTCCTTGTCTTGGACAAACAGGAGTCAAACTGGCAAGTGCCCTTATTAGTATTACGGGGTACAAGGCACCTTCAATTAGGTGAAGCTACTTTTCACGTGTCAGCCATGGTGATTCTGGACTGATTCCTGTGCATCATCTTGAACATCTGAACGGTCCCTGAAATCCCAGTTTTTAAATCCATGGAAAACAAGCATAATGATATGATGTGCGAATGAGCAAACATGGATATAATATGCAGCACAAAGATATGCAGGATGGCAAAAAGGTATGCTATCAAAGAATGATTCACAATTAGAAGTGGACAGTATTGTGCACCTATGTAGAGTTAAAAGCAGGGGGGGGGGAGCCTCAGAGCATTGCTTCTGTGGAAATAAAAGCACTCAGGCAAAGAGAGTGCTAATTTTTAAGTAAATTACCAGTTTTGATTTGTGCTTAGTGGACCACTACATCTTGTCATTAGCAAGTTGAACTGCTCAATTTAAGCAACCAGACTTGATTTTGTGTTCAATTAAACCACGGTCCCATTAATGGGGAGGGGGGGTGCAGAATTACTTCCTACAGTCCTACATTGACTAACAGTCAGTACTTAATCTGGGCTGGGAATTGAAGGAATTAAGAGCGTAAAATTTTTAGTCAAATTACACACGTAATGATTAACTGGATACATGCTGGTTTTATTAATTTTCTTGAAAGCATTCAAAACACAGAATTGCTCTTCAACAGTATATCATTATATTTGTAATTCAGGGAAATTAGTTGTACACAATGAATTACTAACTTCGGTCTAGCAAATGT